AAACTAGTTTTGCTATCATATATATGTCTAAGGCAATAAATAATAGTTAAACCATTTTTAATTATTATTTCCCAAGGATGATGACGTAGATGTGAGACCAGCCAAGAAATCTGAGGCTCCATTTACTCACAAAGTAAACATGAAGGCACGTTTTGAGCAAATGGCAAGAGCCAGAGAAGAAGAGGAGCAGAGGAGGATTGAGGAACAGAAATTGCTACGCATGCAGTTTGAACAAAAAGAAATCGATGCAGCATTACAGAAGGTATAAACTGCAAAATAATATTCTCTAGTTGTGTCATTTAAGTTAGCTTCTAATTACCACTGTAGGCAACACTACCAGATACAAAAGGAATGTTTTGCTTCTTTTAGCAGGTGCTAGGAATTGCTGAAATAATATAAAATTGCTTTTGGTGTTTGCACACACTCTCCATGGAATCAAAGAATGGTTTGGTTGAAAGGACCTTAAAATCATCTAGTTTTGACTCCCCTGATGTAGGCAGGGACACCTCCCCTTAGATCAGGCTGCTCAAAGCTCCATCCAACCTGAACACTTGCAGAAGATTGTGAGACACTGCTGACATCTATCAGAGTATGTACCATCCTGTGAACAGTCTGAAAATGGAATTGACATTCATGCCTGTATTTCACACCAACATTCCAGCCTCATTAAATTGCATTTTACTGCCTGTGGCATACCCAGATTGGGTGCATTGCTACGTATTGAGGACAGATGTGGAATTTCCTCTTCTCAGAAACACAGTAGCGTGTAATCAAACATCTGTCACTATCAGTCATAGTGCTATTGCCACTTTAAATGTTTTAAATAAACTTATTTTAAAACAGAAAAGGGAAGAGGAAGAAGAAGAAGAGGGAAGCATTATTAATGGTTCTGCTTGTGAAGATGAGGATCAAGCTCGATCTGGAGCTCCCTGGTTCAAGAAGTCACTGAAAAACACATCAGTTGTTGACGGCGAGCCAGTGAGATTTACAGTTAAAATTACTGGAGAACCAAAACCTGAAGTTACATGGTGGTTTGAAGGGGAAATGTTGCAGGACTCTGAGGACTATCAATATATTGAAAGAGGAGAAACCTACTGCCTTTACCTGCCAGAAACCTTCCCAGAAGATGAAGGGGAATATATGTGTAAAGCAGTCAACAACAGAGGCTCAGCTGCTAGCACCTGTATTCTCACCATTGAAAGTAAGAGCTAGCATTTTAATATGCTTCTCTCAGACAGTCTTCTTGCATCTTTCCTGTTATGAAAATCTAACTTCCTGTCTCTCTTAACTCTTTTTCTGTTTTCTAGCTGATGACTACTAATGCTCTACTTTAGCTGGAATCTTTCTTCCCCTCAACTTTCTTACTGCATCATCTCTTCTTTCTCTGATGGGGCCAACTAAAGAAAGCAAGGACGTGCATTACCTTGTCATTCCTGCATCAGATGAGAATATACCCTTCAAATTGTGAGAATTTCCTACTCAATGCAAAAACTACTATCAAAGGCTAAAAATAAAAAAAATCAATGTATGAAAGATCAACTGAAGGAAAAGGCTGTATTATCATAGTGCTCCAGCACTTGAAGACCAACTCTTGTGTAACAGAATAAAGCTGAATACAATCTGGAACTTGTGTAGTAGTGTAAATCTGCTGGAGTATCCTGCATGAGCACTGAATATTTAAGCCGTTTTACCTTAACCCAGAGGCACTGAACTGGCAAAGGAAATACTTACTGATGATTTTCAAAAATCCAAGTGGACTATTTTTAAAGAATAAAAGATGACGTAACTGCTCACCATTGTTTCAAGCAGCATAACTTGTTTTAAAATGGCTTGCATTGAAAATGTTCTGCTCTGAATGACCTATGCAGCTGATCATCTCAAATAAAAACAATCTCCTTTAGGTTTGTAGTAGTCTTCAAAGTACCAACACTTGCTTGTAAAATGACACCGAAACAGGTGGTGACATCTATGACTGGCTCATATTTGAAGCTGGTGAAAAAAAAGCCTTAAGAATATTTCATGAAGTGCCTGTTTTCTCAATCTTAATGCAGTAAGTTTATTGCCACATCTATAAACATTGTTTTCTTAAGGTTACTGTACTACTTTTCTCTAAGACCTCCTGACATCAACATTCACGTCGCTCTGCTAACACCCATCTGAACCACTGAGATGAAGCTTCAGGAGGAGTAACTTTACAACAAAAGGTCACATTAGAAGTACTTGTGTATAGTACTGTGGCTGAATCTGCTTTCTTTGTACAGTTAGCTGCTGCAAGTCACTCTTTGGCCCCATTAAAAAATGATAAAGAGGTGCATAGTGTTTTGAATTAGTATCTACTCTAATAACCACAAACATTTCACTTCATTTTTTGTGGGTTATGTTCACAGAAGTACAGGTCACTACAATACTTTCGCTCTGAAGCTGTTACTTCAAAGTAACAAAGGCAGGGATAGGAGCATAAAAAACACAAAACCATTGCTATTATTATTCATCAGTTTACATTTATTGAGAAAAACCATACAAAAACCATTATACAGTTAATGTGTACCCATATTACATACAATGTCAATGCAAGCTCAAAACCACATTTTTGTAAAGCATTCAATTTACCTCAAGTCCAAGCTGCATCTCCCTAAGACACTGTTCCCATCACAGTTGCCTTTTAAAGCCAATCTTCTGTTTACACACGGGTAGTTTCTGCAGAGAACACTTTTCTCAGGACGAAAAGGCATTTCACATGCACGCAAGAGAAATATTTGTGCATACACAAGAGTTTCATAAGCTATTACTAGGGAAGAGGGAATCCTGTCAATTGTATGCTTTCTGAAAAGCCCAGTCCTCCCTTCCTCCCACCACTTCCGGAAAAAAAGCAAAATGGAAAAGCTTTTAGCATGCAATGGAAAACTTAAGAATTACTTTGGAAAAGAAATGGGGAGAAACAGTTTCTACCATCCAATGAAATATCACTAGTATAAAGATGAAATACTTCAAGATACGCTGTGCAAGTGAATCGTGACCCTGTCTGACTAACAAGTGAAACACATGACTTACAATTAAGCCATACTAAAGAGCATCCACCTGGTATTTTATTCCATTTCCTAATAAAGTATAGGCTGCAGAAAGTGATAAAAAAAATTCTTTTCCTACTTGGAACATTATGCTTGCTTTTAAAACTTTTCTTACTCTTCACATTCATTGTGGGACACTAAGCGGTGATGGGTGGGGTAAGTAGGAAACATTTCAAGACACCTTTTGGATAAGTTCACTGCATTTCTAACCAAGTTCAGTTATCTTTTTGGCTACTGGGGTAACTCCAATAATCTACTGTTGTCCCAGGAACTCTGAGTTTGAAGACAAGAGTTGAAAAAAGAACACATGCTCTGCACAAACCAGCATGCCTGTAAGCCCTGCAGTGAGAAAGCTGGAAGCCAATACACCTGAAATGCTACACAGAACATCTCACCTTCCACACACTAGCAACATCCCAATACACTGGCTTTTTCTTCTCTATCTCCTCCCACAGGCTAAATTAGCAACTGAAAGACTGTTCAAGGTATTTTAATAGTAACAGCTGAAGGAAAAAGTACCATGTAAAAAGGAAGTGAACAAATGACTCACCCCCACACTAAATCCACAGTATCAAAATCCAAATGGTACACACCTACCCTCTTCTCACGTCAAAAATAAAGTTACATGTTAAACTACAGATGAAATACTAAGTGGCTTGAGAAACTGAAGCACAACTATTAATTCAGTTCAAAAATCAGCTTGACTGTTTAGAAGAATATAAAGCAAAATAGATGGTTTATATTATTAAATCACAATTTAAAAAAACTTTAACAGATTATGGAACATTAATGGTCAAACAAAGAATACTTTAAAGAATGAAAAGTGATCAAAACAAAAATTATACCCTGTATCATTATGTATGGGATACATTTCAAATCTGTTATGCTTTTGCCAATTTTACCTTCTACATGGAGCCCTTCTACGGTCCATGCTCATCGGCTCACCAATGGCATACACTCAAAGGATTCCTCTTTACTGGTAGTAACTATCTCAGGACCTGATTCTATGAGCTATGATTTGGTGCTTGCAGCATCTTCAGCACTGTGTGTGAAAATGAAGGCAGTATTTTTGAATATTTTTCTTTGATGCACAGATAAGCAGGACTTTTGAAAGAGGAGCAGCACATTTTAGAACCAGAATTACGAACAAAAAACCCAACAGATGCTGCTTTATGTTAAGCTAAAAAAACCAACAACAAAAGCTCAGAATAAAAACCTGTACCAGACCATCTGTAAGACATTTAACATTTTATACTATCAAAATATTCAGCAATTCAGTTAAAAATATCAAGGAACAGCATACACTGACTGCTATAGCAATAAAGTATTATTTGCTGTACTGTTAATTGGTGCTCATGCTTTTTCAGTTAAAACATACTCATCTCAAGCTCCAAAATCTCTTTTCCTACCATGTCAAGTATGAACAAGCAAACTCCACTAACACACTATAACTGTAAGACAAGTTATCAAGTTCAGTGATAACAACAAGAAGTCATTCTTTACATTTAGATCTTACGGATTAAGTGGGAATAGTGCCCTATTATTAAAAAAAAAACATTGTGAAGGCTGTTGACATTTCTAACCAAAGCAATTCCTGCACATTTTAAAGGTTTTGATTCTTTAATTGCAACAATTATCTATTTGGGTAAAATAACAAAAATTACTTCTTCTGATCAAGTTCAATTACTGCAATCTAATAATCTTTTCTAAAAAAAAAAAAAAAAAAAGAAAAAAAGAAAAAATACTTATTGACCTAGAAATATAAACAGTTGTTTAAAAACTTAAGATTTTCCACTCAAATGGAACCGTGAGTAACAATGCATTTGGGGAAGCAGCAGATTGCTTTTCAATACACAACCACAAAGATCTCACAGGGACAACATTAATGTACTGAAATATATTAATTTATATACTTCCTTAGGTTGTGCTTACCTGTTGCTTTTTTGCAGCAGAACCTAAGGTGGAAGGTCTGGGAAGGCACTGTGAAGTATAAATAATTGCACTGTTTGCAATTAATAAAGATTTTATACCTTAAATGAATCAAAATCAACAGCCTCCATTTTGTGAATGATAAAGAATCCAGTGAATTTAATTTTGCTCAGTTTAGTACATAATAAATGCACCATTCTGTAAGGTTATCTACAAAATACCATGCAAAATACCTGAACTATTAAACTTAATACCCTACACTAAAGATAGCAAATACTGTCCTAGCCTTCTTCAAGCTACCAGCAAATTCCTAGCTTTAAAAGGATAAAAATAATTCCTTCTATTTCTACAGCACAATGCATACATTGCTGATTACCTGAAAAAAACTACTTCAGTTTTCAAGCCTTAACTTTTACTTCTCTGTGCAGCCACCCTAAAAAAATTTATTCTCAAAAGCAACAACATGGTGTTCCAAAAATAAAAGCAATTAACAGTTATAGAATTATTTAAAACATACCTACATCACTACATATCCACAAACTATCTGGAGACAAAGACAACTCTGTCTAACAAGTGGTTCCAAAGACTTCAATGTTATGATATGCATACTTTAAAACACTGAATGACAGCTGTCTCATGAGTACTAATGAAAGAAACTCTTAGATAAACAGAAACATGATTTTCTTTAGCTATTGCTAACAGTTTCAGAAATACTTACCCACAAAACTCAGATTATGTGTATGTATATATATAAAAGCAAACCTACGTTTCTGAATTAAGAAGCAATTATGATTTCCTAAGATACCAGCACTGTATTCCAACATAATATCACACAAGTACAGCATTTGCATTATGTGGAACATTGACAAAAAGATACTGTTGCAGTTCATCAATTTGTCATTCTGATGTACTTACAGTGCAATGCTCCTTGAAGGAACAATCAAGGATGATACACAGCACAGTCCTCCTCACCCCTATAGAGCTAGTTCTATACTGGCTGGATCAAACCTGCACTTCAACAGACAATGGCAAGACAGACTGTAGTGCATGTAGTCTAACATATGCAAAGAGCCAATAAATATGCAAAGAGCAAACACAGGATTTCAAGAGAATCAGCTTTTTTAGTATGAGCATTAGAGCAATAAGAAGTTTCAAGTATATATAAAAAAATAATCAGTTGATTCAAATACTTGAATATTTACAAAACGAGAAGTTATCTGCTCTGCAGGAAGTTCTCAGTCACTCCCATCACTCAAACAAAACAGCGTTTTAAGGACAGACGCAATCTTTGTAGCTACTATGCATTACCACATTGACTTTTCTACACTGAATTTTGAAGTGGACTACTTCAAACTGAAGGCTTAAGCACATTACACTTAAAGTAAGTTTTATAACTAGTCTGAAAAAATCCGTATAATAGTTATGCAGGAACAGTTTTGAAGTATTCAATTAAAACAAAAGTTATATGTTATAGCAGCTGCACAGGTCTGAAACAGTGGTCATGTATAAAAGGAAATTTCACTGTTAATGCAATGGAAGTATGCCAAAAGATCATCTTCTTAAACACATGCAGTTTTAATCAAGTAGAAAAAAAATTAAGGTATCAAGATTACTGGTGCTAGGCAGCAAAATACAATGAATGAAAGAGATCCTCCATCTACAGCTATTCTGCAAGAGGGGAAAAACATGCTAATGACAAGTTTTTAAACTCAACAAGGTTTATGGGGGGGGAAAAAAACCCAACTCATTTGTGTAGCGGTACCTTGATTCAGCGTTGCAAATCAATCCTATAATTAATACTGCATATACCCACATATCCAACTTACCGACACAGGAGGTTTCATATTATTTATTGTAAAGCACAAAACAGGCATTTTAAAAGTGATAAAGTATACATTGAAAAAGTACATTTATATCACAAAGCATTGACCACATAATTGCAAATACATTTGCTGGAATGTGTACATCTACACTAATACTAAAAACAAACCATTTTTTCATTTCTACACAGAAATATTACCTCCTATCAGTAGTGATAGATATTTTGTACATTTTCAAAAACACTATTTTTTTAACCAAATTTAAGATCTTCATCAAGGCGTCTGCATCCATACATTTAACAAAGGTTTTTTCCCCCACACAATGAAGCAAATACTGTATTGTCCACTTCTTATTATTGGCCCTGTGCAGAAGAGATACATAAGAGATACACAAAAAGTTAAAGAAAATCCTTTAAATCGAGCTAACTCAGGAGTGAAGCCTTTAAGAAAGAAAAATTGGTTAATGTAAATGGTGGTGGCTTCTTGCATGGTTTTCAAAACCCTGGGAGGAGAAAGTTTTTCTTCTTTTTTTTAATTAAAAAAACAATCACCAAACATATGGATAGATACAGAACTCAAGTTTATCAGGTAAACAAAGTCATCTCCTCATTATTCTGATAGCTATTTTGCTAGAAAAAAAGATGCATACCCCAAAGGAACAAAGCAGGAGACATGCAAAAAAATATCTACAACCACTGAGACAGAAGCCAGCCAAAAATCCACTTTAGGACTGTACCTGTGGTGCTGGAGGATGCTGTGGCATTCCCTGTGGACTTGTCTGAGCGTAGTACGCTGCCTGCTGCCTGTAGTACTCGGCCCACGCTGCGCTGTAATCTGGCTGCCCGCCCGGAGGAGCCCCAGCAGGGGCAGGAACTGCTTGACCTGCAAGTAATTGGAATTACACAGCTCTGTTGTTGCAACAGAAATGAGAAAATTTCAACATCTCAGCACCTAGCAAACATCACCTAGCAATATTCTTCCATGGCTTTGAATAAACTTGTGGCTGCTTTTTTCGGCCTGAACACTCATTCTATTACTTTAATGTAATGATTCTCATGTAAATCAAAATTAAGGAACTGTAAAGACAGTTTTTTCAGCCTCTTGATTCATAATCATGAATCATGTTTAAAGCCTACTGACCTAAACAACAGCAGCATTTAAATACACACCAAGAGGCAAAACTTTTTGTAATCCACCTAGACTAATTTTACATTATTTTACAGACTGCATTCATTAGCTCAGCAGATGCCAATTCATACACTTCCCCAATTCTGGCATCCTTCATTCAATTACAAAGTTACTGCAGGCTGCATTTTTCAGAAAGTGCAATAATTTTTGTAAACATTTACTCCACTACAGAACAGTCCTGAAACTTGCTTCCACGCTCTGTGCAAGTTCCAGTTCTCTAGAAACAAGAGCATGTACAAATACACTCTCAGAGACAGTTAAGAATTACTTCTCCTTCCAAGAGAATCAACTGACATACTGATACACAGGGACTCTTCAGCAAAACAATAAAAGAAAATTACAGCCAACCTTTCAGTTGTGCTGTTCTTAACCAGGAGATTTGTCACAGACATCTTTACTTTCTTTTTCCTCCAACTTCAGGAACACCAAATACACCCCCCTTAGTACCACTACTCTTTGCAATTTCTGAGAAGTGTTTTTGCAGTTACCACTACAAGATGTATGAGACTCCAAGCAAAGCAACACTCTCTATGCTATAAACATGTCCACACACACTTGCAGGCTCTCAGACAGAAGGGTTGTGTATGTAGTGCTTCATTTCAAGTTTCCTGAACTTCCAAACCAGAACTTTTATTACTGTCCTATGATGCTTTTGATTTGCACTCTTAACGGGTTATTTTTCAAATCAAAAGTTCTAGTCAGAACTGGGATACTACCAAAAAAAAACAATACCTCTGCAAGTTTTTTCTAAGATACTACAAAAAAAAAAAATCCCAAATCACCCCACAGGAAATAAACCCAAGCAAAATGCAAGCCTGCACCCTGTACAATTCCATGTGCACCCAGCTGTCTATTCTGTTATGAACAGAAAGAGGTAGCTTCCACATGAAAAAGGCTGCAAGTTTTCTGTCCTAACTTAAACCACTTTTATTTGAATACAAGGCTACTGAACAACTTTCTGAGGAACACTGAGTATCAGAAATTCTCTGTTTGGTTGTTTTTCTTTTAATACTTAAACAAAGAAAATTCACATGAAGAATCCTAGTTATTCACACTACTCCTACACGCGTGTAGTCTTCTAATGCTCTCAAAAACATCAGGTGTGAGCACAGAATGAGATTACTGGGCAAAGCATGATCCTGAAAACCATCAAAATACAACCTTCCATTTTCCAACTCTACTTTTAACTTAAGTTTTTTCCACTTACACTGTAGGTAAGCTCTGAAAGTCTATCCATCTTTTATTTTGGTTTATATAGTAATGGAATTTCTAAAAACAAAAAGTATATTTCTTCAAATCTTTACAGCTGTTATCATATTTTACAACTGTTAATGTACCACAACTTCAAATTTACACTTCTGATCAATTATTTTAACAAAATCTACCTTTAATACAGTTACAAATTATCCCAGGATACACTGTTTCCAATTTCACCATTACTCTGAGATAACATAAATACTTACAAATCACTGTCAGCACAATTGATTGTCAAAGATAAGGGATTTTTTGTGCATTATGATCCAAGAATCTTGGGACATTCAGCCAACTTTGTCAAGGCAGCACTGAAGTTCAAATAACAAATCAAAGAAATTTAACATCTACTCAAAGATGTCAAACTGGACTTCTGTCCTGATGAGTATTTCAGGTGCACAATTTCCTACTAAGTACTGCAAGTAGTTCTGAACCTACTCATGGAATTCAGCAGTTTAGTCCAAGCTTCCTTCAGCACAGAAGCTGCACCAAGCAGCACCTGCTCATTAATATCCAAACTGAACCGTAACACTTATGGGTAATCCTGATCAACTCCACACAAAGGAAACATGAGAAACACAGAACACCTCCCCTTTAAGCAGGGCTGAGAAAGGAAACACCAGCAAATTTTACAGTTCAACATTATCAAGAGTGATTCTAGTAAAAGTGAACTGTTTTGTTGCTTCTTTCCACTACAGTGCTGAGGAATCTTTTAAAAACACCCCTATTTTATTATTGAATCCTTCAAATATATGTCAAGCCTGCAATATATAGGAATGACTTTAAATGAGAAAATTAAAAATTCTGGTAGTGACATATAGATCATTCACTAGTGATCATGACTTCATGTTATCAATGAGACTTTTTGGAGTATTTGCGCTACTCAAAGCAGTAGCCCCTGAAACAAGGGTCTGAAAATGGAGGTGGACTTTGCCACTGTATTTCTGACTCAGAAAACAGGTTAATATTCAAGTCAGTGCTCAGTGAAAAATACAATGAAGTGTTCTCTATGATTAGCAGAGTCATATCACACCAGTAGGAAGCCACTTTGAAAACACTATTATTGTTTGGATGGGCATATTCTGGAGTGTTTTAGCATTTTCAAATCACTCATACTTAACTAAGTATGAGAAAATCCAAAACACCAACTGCAATATCACTGGCACCTTGTTCAGCTTCCCACAAGAACTATCAAAATAGTTTTTTTCAGCAGCAAAAATAGAACTGATTGGGCTCAGCAAATCTGAATTTCAGTCCAGCTCTCCCTAACAATGTTTGGTGAAATCATCTGTGTTGTGAAAAACCTGAGTTGTCAAAGAACAAGCCACTTGTAATTCCCATCCTTTAGCACAAGTTAATGGGGACAGAAGATAACAGCACTACAGGAACAACAAATGTTACTGGAAAGCCTGAAGACCACAAGAACTTGCTGTTGGACAGCCTTCCTGTCCATCACATCTTCTACTGACCTTCTACAGTTAATGAGGTAGGGAAAACCAGCACCATTTAGCATTATGTCAACTCTGCTGAATTCCTCTTTTTTTAAGAGGCTTTAAAAATAAATGGTATCTACCACACCAAGATTCTGCAGCAAAAAGCTTTCATGATTTACAGGTAAGTTATGTAGGTCCAGCCATCAAGAGCTCTCTATCAGGCAAAGAACTCAATCTGAACCAGAAAAATGAATTAAGATGAGAACTGCCTGTGTGCTTTTCCTCTTATTTGACTGTCTTGGCATATTTTACATTTTAAGAGCAACTATTTTTTATCTCCCAGTGTGTTTTTTGGCTCACACTCCTCTTTGGAACTGCTCCCATAAACTCTATCCCAACACCTTATAACTTGCCATTATTTTATCTGTGCAAGTGCAAGACTAGTGCAACCCAGACTATGCTTTCCAAGACAGCAAATCAAAAAGATGGCAGAGTGCCTACCAACAAACTACATTATTTTAAAGAAAGTGAAAGCCACCCACAAGTTTGCCTTTCAGAGTATGAGCCAAACTAACAGAGACAGTAAATTGAAAAGAAATAGCTGAATGAATCAGAAGGAAGAAAAATGGGAAGGCCTATCATCTTAGAAATCACATGTTTGGGAGTTGTAATTTTCTTAGTCTGATACACAGTTGTTGAACTAAATACTCATTCTATATTTTCTGTAGAATTCATCACTTATACTGTGCCAAAACAAAAAATAAAGGTAGTTATGTCTTGGCAAATAATCATCAATACAGCGGAGGGCTGGTAAGAGGAATTATGCATGTTATTGATCTTAAATCTGAATACTTTTAATATTCCATGAGAAAATTGAGGGCAGTTAGAAGATGGCAGAACAGCCACCAAACCCTGCCCTGCAAACAAAGATGCATCCCAAAGCAGATGCTGCTGTATGTCTAGTCAGAAATACCTGGGAAAGCACTGCAATTCCTAAGGCCACTGGTGCTCAGTATCCAGCCCTTCGTCTACAGTATCCACGGCAGGACACCACAGGCAGAACACGACCATGATTTCAAAGGTAATGACACCTTCTGCCAGTGCATAAAAACCACATACTCTTTTCTTACACACAAAACAATGAAATCAGCAAGCAATCCAGCACATTCATTTCATTTTTATAAAGAAAGCTACCAACAACATATAATCTGCAGTTTAAACACAGCTCTAGAGTGTTGCAAAGCAAAATTTAAAAAAGGGCACAGTATAAATGAAAGCTAATTGCAATACTTTAGTATAGTAGCTGAAACACAGAAAGCAAAGCACAAGAAAAAAAAAAATTGTAAGTAATCTGAAGAGAATTGGGAAAGAACTATCAAACAAGAAAAATAACAGCTTCATAAAACAGATCAAAGTGAGCTTCAAAACTTAGGAAATGTACTTTAAAACACCCAGATTGAAACATTTAAAAGATGTTGTTTCCCAACAATCAAAGACATCTCATTAATTCTGAAATATTTTTATAAAGCTGATTACTAGCCTGAGCACCCTGAAATGCCTAAAAACAACACAAAATTTAAAGTCTGCTTCTCAGCAGTATTTGGTTCAGAAGACACATGACTGTGCATTTCAAATTTTTGGGGGTAAAAGCCCCCATCTCATCCAGCAAAAGACAAAAGTCTCCTACAACATTCCACTGTGAATGTGGAACAGAAAAAACAACAGAAAAACCCCTGCACACTTACCCATTTTTTTGTAGTACTCCTCCCAGGCCTTGGTATAATCAACCTGCCCTGCTGGTGCTGGATTTGGCTGATCTCCTGAATTACATTAAAAATAGTTAAACTAAAATTACTGGGATTTGTTTCACACGTAATTCAAATAATCAACTGAAATTTTCAGTAACAGTCCCGCATGATGTGATTCAAATCTTACACTATAAACATTTGTGGTACAAGCTACTACAATTAGGAACTACTAGTAAACAAGACATGTTTTCAAGATTAAGGCAGGGCATACCACTAGCAATACAAAATACCAAAAATTCAAGTGGTAAGCCTCAGCCAGGCACAAAAATTAAAATAACACAACTAAATACCACAAATGTAATTGTCCTAAACCTACTGGAAGTGATGCAACCATTTAAGCAAATGACAATCAACAGTTTAGCTCATTACATTGTTATTTATGACTGCTCTATGCAGTCATTAAGTCAGCCCACATTGCAGCAAAACTCTTTGGAAAAGTGTATTCCAAGATAAATATATTACCCTTGTTACTGCTGAAATTAAGAAAAGCAATATTGAAGGCTGTAAGCAATAGTTTTCCAAGAAAACCAGCTACTTAAAATAAATTTACCTGACATAGCAGGACAACAATAAAAAATAATGGGGTATTTACATGTCCAGCAATGAGAAATGCGTCCATTTCACTCAATATCTACCTTGTCCATTGGTTTGGGTTGTAGCTGGTCCACCAGGAGGGGCTGCAGGTGGTGGCTGTGCTTGCTGCTGATAATAGTGAGCATAATAAGCTGCCCACGCTGCTGAATTGGGATCTGTTCCTGGCTTACCTATGAAAACAGAACACAAGCATTTATAATAGCACTACTATGAACAGAATGCTGTCCTCAATCAATCCTGTTCTAGGCATTCTTATTATCCTCCAAGGAAAAATCCATCTAAACAAAATATCCATGTACATCCTTAAAGTATTTTTTCTTTCTAGCATAAACTTTTGATCAGTTTTAGACCAACGAACTATACAAAGTGTAATTTCATAGAGCTGGTGAGATAAAATAATTTTAGAATCTTTACTACTACAATGCCACTTATTAATCTTACATGTGGTAAACAGAAACAGATTTTAAGTTTATTTAAACAGTCATGTCAATAAATGGCAGCAGCAATGAATCATTCTAGCACCAAACGATTTCAGTGGTTTTACTTTTGTTAGAACCTCACGCTAATGACACTGGCACCGGTGGAGGAGGCATGCCAAATACATATTTCTGAAACAGAAGAATACAAGACTTACTAGGTATTTGCAATGCTTGTCAGTTAAACTTTAAGGTAACAGTAAAATAGAAAAACACACAGCATTTTAAGAACCTGAATCCACATACATGGCTACTAAGCATCACTGTTTACCTACAGCTTTTTAGTATTAAAAAAAATTAGAAACAGTTCCGTCTTCTGCATCTATCTCCATGATTCTTTATTCTTATCTACATCTAGGTAGGCCAATGATGCTGCTTCCTAGGATTTTATTGCTCTGTTTCTCACTTTTAGCTTTAGGAATGGCTTATTCCTGCTGAATCACAAATAGATTACATTACAAGATTGGCAATCAACAATACCTGAAAATCTACTATTAGAGAACATAATATGTTTTATACAACCAGCATATATTTGCAAACAGTATTTGCAGTCTTAAAGAATAAAAGCATCTGCAAAGAAACTCAGCCAAGTGAGGAGAGAATTTCACAGAAGGACAGGGACACAACTGATACTTTAGAGTAACTACACATGGGAATGGAAATACAATCCTCCCTAAACATGAAACAGGTAAGGCAGTGAGTAATGGAAGATGAAGAATCCCCCTGAAAAAGGCATTCAAGAATAAACCCAAAAAACAAATTAATGCTAAATGAAATCCTGTAACAAGTCAGATGTAACCACTTCAAATGCACACAGAAAAAAATCTTAACACACTACTTTGTTTAAATTGCACTGCATCCATCAACAATAGTGGATTTAAATTAACAGTTCCTATATTCTAAGTTTACCTGCAAATATCAAATAAGCCATTGCTCAATTCCTCCCCCTCCTTCTTAGCTATTTCTCTAGAGTAGAACACAGAGCTGGATTCATTAAACTTCCAAAGAAATCTGACTGTAGTAACCAGCTCCTCTTTCACATGACAAGGGCAAGCACAGTTCTGGAGAGAGCACCTCTGAAAAAAGTACTAAAATAACCCAATTGTTGCACCGGAATGAGTAACTAAGTGAAAACTGCAGAAAAATCATTCAAAGAAATGCTTGTCAAAAGAAACACCAAGTTCAACTGCACATATGAGAACTTCAGTAGATTTTTAAGAGAAGTATTTATCAAAAAACGAGTTACAGAAGCATCAAGATGACATCAAGGGAACATTTACCAGTTTTTGTTACACAGCCTTTATGTAGACAAGTAACTTGAGAACAACAAGAAACGGTGGTGTGAAACAGGCTGTAACTTTTTAGCAGTGGTTTTGCATTAAATACTTTAGCTGTGCTGAGACTAAGTCACTTTGAGCCGTTCTACTTCTAAATGAAGTCAGCAGGTATTTCAAATACTGAACTGAGTACATGCAGAGCTACCTTGTGCAGAAGTTTGGGAACTAAAACCAGCAATGGCTCTTTGCAAAGACATAACGTGATACATACGTGGAGTCCCCTTCTCCACTAATGGAACCTATTTCATGAACAGTGGCTATCATAAAATATCTGTCATTGATAACAAAAATATAATTGAGATCTATTGGCTCAAATTGTGAGGAAACTCCACCTCAAACAAATGAGGTACAACAAACTCAAGCATCTAGCCTTACCATTCTGTGGCTGATGTTCCATTTCCCCATATCCTCTAGTCCAACCAAAGGATGTAAACTTAAAGAAAAGCAGGATACTACAACTTTGGAAGTTGTAATTAAGTAAGAACTCCCAGTCTCGACAAAGATAAACAGAAATAGAAGAAGCAAATTCTACAAAGATAGGTTTCAGAAGAAAATACAAAACTATTATATAAGCAAAAGCTCAAAATGCAGAACCCTAGCTAGTTTTACTGCATTAACAGCAATTCACCAAGGTTTCAGCCCTCAAAACAGACTCAACAAAATACATCGGAGCATCAGACTCTTAAAAGTAATTGTAATAGAACAAAACCTAGAAATACCATAGGATTAACTGCAAAAAGACAAATCAGTAAAGATTGTTTAAAATAAAATACAAGTAATTTACTATTAGAGAAAGCAAAGACATCCTTATTACAGAACTTTATGGAAAAACATTGATTTCAAGAAAACTGGATTGCACAAAATCAGTGAACCAAGACTTGCAAAAAGTATCATAAATAGTGATGCAGTATCAATAAACGTTTGTAAAAAAACATACTCCAACTGTAACAATTAAATTTCAACATTTCACAAGCCACATATGGAAAGTGCAAAACATAAGTCAACTGACAATCAGTGAAAAAAAGCCAGAAAAACAGGAACTTGTCAGCTTCAGGAGTGTAACACAAGTAATTGTACAATGCATATACTTGTAAGGACAGAATGGATGTACTTGAAATATTCCAACACTACAGTACAGGTGTGCATTTCTTACCTGGGTCTGGTGGGTTTGGTGGCTGCCAGTGTGGATAAGCATTTCCCCATCCCTGTGGAGCATATGGAGCTGGAGGACCACTATAAAAGATCATACACACACAGTGAAAGGCAGCCCCAGGGTGACCCCACACAGAAGGAAGTCAGCTGAAGCAGTACTTACTGAGGTGCAGGACCAGGAGGGCCTGGGTTATAAGGAGCTGGATTATATGGTCCCATGGGAGCACCAGGACCTGGTGGCCCAGGAGGTCCATGCGGGCCAGGAACAACACCATGGGGACCATGGGGAACAGGTGGACCCAATGGATTCACTGGACCCTGCAACAAGGGTGGGACAGAGATGAAAATACTCCTTGAGGTTCTCCCTTTCTCAGCATTTTAAAAGCATTTATCTGAACACTAAGAATGCATAAAAGGCTTGACTGGTTTTAAGGACAGTTTCCTGCAGAAAACAGGCTATTTAAAGTTTGATTAGGCTTAGAGGTAGTTAAAAGCAGCTGTGGCAGTAATAGCAACTAAAGACCTGCATTTATTTCAGTTCCTTCTTCAGGAAATGAAGGATTTTACAAAAATCCACAGTTTTTTCCACAAGTTGCACTAAACTCCCCACTATCTAACAAGACTATCAGTTCTAAAATCAATACATCTAAAACTGACTAACTAAACCTGCTTGTAAGATCAGGCACAAAAAGCCTCTAGTAAATTTGATGACATGCACACACACGCAAACAAAACCACTGTTAAACTGAAGATGTAACTTCGATTAGAACTTTACCCAAACATATTGGGACTGAAAAACTAAACACAATTTAGTATCACTGACCTCTTTGAACTTAACAATTTTTTCATATACACAAAATTGGCATTTTCAAGAGCACACCATAAGATATTGATGAGATGAACTGTTTCCATTTCAAGATTTTGTTATATTACTTTAAATCCAGATGGCCATTATTATCAATTTATTATCTGATTAATCTGGGAAGTGAAAGGAAAGAGAAATCTCCACAAAGGAGACTTGCTTTCAGCTCTGTTTAGCTCCAACAGTAGACAAAAAAGCCATTAGTTTTCCACTCACTCCAATCTTTTCTTCTATAAGCTGTCGTGCATAATCTATTTGCTGGGGTGTTCCACGGATAGTAAACATCTTCATGTTTGGATCTGCATTAGGTGGAGGATTTCTCTGAAGTTCTATTCTAGCACCAGACTGCTGGCTTATACTTTTAATAGTTTCACCACCTACAATGCAATACAGAGTTTTTATAATGTGCATCAAAGCAAAAAATACTGAGTCATATCAGAGAGAAAGTCAACTGCATGGAAGCCAAAAACACATGAAAAGGCACCTATTCTCATGAGCTGTTCAAGAGCATTCCAACAATTCAAATAAAATCTCTTCAGCGTAGCATAGAGCTTTAATGGCAAGAAACATGTAAAATACTTTTTAAGAGATTATAAAAATGTTACTCAGAAACAGCAGCAAGAATTCCTACAATCTTATATTTCTTATTTATGTAAACATCTAATATTAGACATTCATAACAACTGACACACATGCTTATCAGTAAATGTAATCCAACCCCTCTATAAAAGGGTCAAGGAAGCCCAAAAAACCAAAAAAGCCCCACAGAGACTGACAAGGTAAGTGACTCCTTCCCTTACAGGATCCAGAGAAGTTGTGTACCATTAGTATATACAAAGTCCTCAAAACAGGAGAAATTGGGCAATTAAAAATTTTTAAAAAATCATAGAATCACAAAATATTCTGAGTTGGAAGGGACCCACAAGGATCACGGAGTCCAACTCTAAAGAGAAAGGCCCATACAGGGATTCAACATCCAATCTCAGCACCATTAGCATCATACTTATCACGCATCTCTGTAGCATGGCATTTGGCCAAACAGAGAAGCTGAGTGGTTTTAAAAGTAACATACAATGTACATATATAAGATATATTGCCTTTTCCAATGATTAATCCAGTTTTGCCAGTAGGGACAATAAAATTGAACTCCTGTAATCCACCAGGAGGCCCCATGTTCCAGTTGCCTTGGCCTCTACCCCTTCCTCGACCACCAGGTCCTGGTCCACCAGGGTTACCAGCCTAAAAAGAAGCAGCAACAAATGAGCATGTTCTATAAAATTACCACAAACAAATAATGCAAACAAGCTACATGACATCATTGTTAAGATAAAACTGATTCACTACTCAGACAATTTTGGCAGTTAAAGCAGTACCTTTTGTAGAGGCCCTAAATTAAATCCTAAAAAATGTTCTGTACATTCTGCATGTGAAAGATGAAGGAGGAAAGGACAGAGAAGCAAGCAGAAATTTCACACGTACAAAGACGCAATTTTTATCTGCCTTCTGTAAATGCAGCAGTGGGGCTCATCTAACAATAAGCTTTTAAAAACTGATTACAACCAAAAGTAAGAGCACATCAGCTACTAACAAAAACCAGAAGCAGCAGCTCTAAAATCAGCCACATCAAGAAATGCCGTGACTTTGAATCAGTATGGTCACTAGCAAAACTAACTATCAAAGTAAATATTCATATTCCAGACCAAACTTTGAAGTAGATTCAAATGGCACAACTAAATTATTTTCTCTAGTTACACACACTTTTTGAAAACTTTGGGTCTTTCCAAAAGGTGGACAGGAGATTTTAGATGTTGAACAATGTTACCCAACCTGAACACTGCGAAGGAGATCGGTAATAATTTCTGCAGCATGCTGACATCTGTCAGGAGGCCCTGTGATCTGGGCTATTCTATCTGGAGTTGTTCCATCATCTGGAATAAAAATGAACTATTCCAGTACATGCAATTCAGTAAATTCACATTTAAGTCACAAAAACTTATGAACGTTTTACAAACCTGGCTTGAACTGGATCCTAACACCAGCATCATTCTGGATCTTTTTAATCATCTCTCCATTTCTTCCAATTACAATACCTACAGCAAATCGTGGTATTGGAACCTAAAAAAAGCCCAAACAAAATGCTGATGACACAGATATTACTAAAGAATCCACATAATGAGAGGTTAGCATCATAAACCAGGGCAAGACCAATGTCACTTCAGGTTTTTCAAGGATGGATTTTTTTATTATCAAGTCACAAGCCTAGCACATACTGGACTAAACCATTAAAAAGAAAGCGATCCTGTGCTTTAGAAGTTCTCATAGTGGTAGCAATTCCAGCAGATTTTATGCTTCTCAGAAAAAAAAAAAAAAAGAAAAAAAAAAAAGAAAGAATTTATTGAGTATGTAAAATGCAGATTCCAGCAGATGAAGCCTTAAGCCTCTCCCTGATGAAGTTACTAGCTTGTGACTTGCATTAACTGCTGGCCTTACATAAGATCTGTAAAGGCCAAAGTCCATTTTCAATAATGCTGTAACATTATATACTTGACCATAAAATTTACTTGCTTATTTGATAAAAAACTCCAGCTACTTGAAATTGTTCATAACTGCTGGCAATGTAAGGTGAATATTGCACATCATTTAGTGTTGTAAATTCAGCAATGATCATGTAATACTTACATGCCACAGACAACTTTTGAAATCGGGTTAAAAGCTTTCAATGGTATTACCCAACTTAACATTTTAAAGTTAACATCTCAAAATACAGTGAACAAGTTTTTCAACCATGCTTACGTCTATCCCTTCATTTCCTCCTATTCTTGACCCATATTCGTTGCGCACCTCTCTAAAGCCACCTTGATCACGAATTAACTCCAGCACCATTTCCTTGGCTTGCTAAAAGAAGAACAAAAGTTTGTTCAGGTACTGCAACATCCAAAGAGACTTTAAAATGCTCTCAATTGTGAGGCACTTCTTACCTGAACTTTATAAGGGTCTCCAGTTATCCTAAGGGGTTTGTCTGCACCAGTGTTCTGTGGACCATCTTGGATCATGACCATTTTGACACCTGCCCGCTCCTATTTGACAAAAGGGAGGTCAATACTCACTCAAATCCAGATTCAGTACCATCATATTTAAAAGATGATACATATATACCTGTAATTGTTTAATTGTCTCTCCACCTTTCCCAATAACTAATCCTGCTTTACTTGCTGGAATCATAATTTCTTGGACTGCATTTCCAGGTCCATCACCATGATGAAATCCAGGTGCAGGTCTTCCCTTTTCAACTATCTGATCAAGCAATCTTTTTGCTGACCTGTGGAAGAAAATACACATTCATAAACACATACCCCTGCAAGTATCCCTTGTCCACACCTATTCTGCTTGGCAATTTTTAAAATTTGAATAGTTTCTGCAAAAGAATTATGGTTATTATCACTAAGAAAGATGAAGCAATCTCAATCAATCCGCAAAAGTAATTTAAAAAACAAACTGCAAAATAATAAAACCACTCCAATATTGGAATTTAAAAGGTGGTCCTTTACCAATCATATTTAATGAAGTTACCTCCTCAAGGTCCCTGAATATAGTTACACTCATCAAAGCTTAATTCAGAACAAAAGCTGCTGCTTGATTCAGCACGCAAAGTAAGGACATCTGTACTTGTAACCACCACCACAACAGTGGACAAAAGCAAGTATATATTCACTACATGTGGCAGGTCAGCTGCCATGACAGTAAAATCATGATTATAGTCCTAACGTCAGTTAAAAATACTTACTGAACAGACTCTGGTGTTCCAGTCAGCATACATGATCTTTCAGGCAGGCCTCCACTATCTGCAGTCATAAAATAAAACAAATTTCTCAGCAGTGTTAAGTCAGAAATAGACTACAAAATTAACCATAAAACGACTGGCTTTTCATATCCAATGAAGTAGAATAATCATTGTATCCTATTCTGCAATTCCTTAGCCCATCACAGTCATGATTAGTACACAAAAATTACCCTGCATCTTAAATGAAGGTTAAGGCAATGAGAAGCAATGAGCAATCTTCTGGACTTCCTACCCATCAGCCCCCTATTCCCCCAGACAGACAAGTTAAACCCCCCACAAATAATTACCAGGTGCAATCTGTATTTTACAGCCAGACTCTTGCTGTATGCGTGAGATCTGCTCTCCACCTCTGCCAATTACTTGGAGAAAGAAAACACAGAAAGGTTATTTGTACAAACATCCATCTGCTAACATCCCCCACTACACCACAAGAGCACAGCTGTACTACTTACTGAATCCAACCATCCCATCTGGAACTTTGTACTCCTCTGTCATCACAGACCTACAGCCAATGTTAAACAAAAGACATGACCATGCAGAGATCAAACCAGCATTACATTTACATATATCCTCCCACTAAACTAAAGCAAGCTACTGCCCCACCATCACCCTTGGTTACTTGCCTCCCATTAACTTTAAAAGTCATTATGCAAGCACAGTTCTACAGAAGCTGACAATACACAGAAACTACACAAAAGGTTTAAGCGTTGTACAAATCGGTGACTAGTTTTCCTTCACCCTCTTTATTAACAGACGTGCAGTACAGAGAAGGCTACTGTAGCATTTTAAGTTTCATCTGTATACCATCAAAGGATGCTGCAAATTTTGGCATCTCAGAACTGTCCAAAGCACAAGAATAATAGCTGGATCTAGCTGTTTAGGTAAGAAATGAGTGGAGAATACTATGAAGTTGTAGTCTGAATTATTTTATTTGGTTTTAGGTCATTCTGCTTTGCTTTTTGTTACGAGATGACATCACCTTTCTCTTCAGATCTGCTTCCAACTTCTAGCTATGCTACCTATGCTGAAGTAGAAAAACCAGCCAATGTATTTTCCTTTGATTAAGCTCAATCCACAGCCTAGGCTGTGGAGAAAGAAAGGGAGAGCAACGTAGGTACATTTTAAGTGTCTGACTTGGGACGTGCTAAAGCTAAACTTCAATAGATCACACAAAGACAGAATAAATGTTTCATTTTTTCAGAAAAACCGCTTGAAACTGCTTTGTTTCAATAAAAATCCTATGTAAGATGCAGGGTAAAACTCTTACCTTTGTTGCTGATGCATCGGTGGTAGCTGATTTCCAAAAGCTATAAACAAACATTGTTAAAATTAAATTCAAACAAGTGGTATAGCTTACAACTAAGCTTCTCCTTTGATAACAAAACTCAACTGTATCGAACTTTTGCCCAAGTTTACTTTTAAGAAGTGTTATCAAAAGGTCCAAAAACTATAAAGACTCTTAACTGTGCTACCACCACTGTCAGTTTTACCAAGCAGACTCCTGCTGCTTCAACAGTATAAGACAAACCCCCAGCTATTTTTTGGACCTCACTTATTCAAGTGTCACCTACCAGAACACTTTCGAACTGTTGTTCTGACAATGTTACACTTGTTTAGGGATTTTTTGGCAACAAAATAAAAATTACTTACAGTCATTCTGGGGAGCAACTTTCTTAGCATCTGGTTGATCTGCAAAATTAAGATTTTTAAAATTTTTTTTGCCAAGAAATTCAGGAAGTGTTTAAGCCTTTTAGTGTGAATTGTAAATTTCCAGTGTATTTTAGCCCCCCCTTTTTTCCCCTCTCTTTCTTTTTCCTCCTCCAATTTCAGGGAGTTGATCATCTGAATAAAAGAAAGAATCTGACGAACACTCAGCACTTGGTTAGTATAGCTGAAAAGATGTTAGGTTTTTCCATGTATCTATTAGTTTAACAAAAGGCAGCTTTCAGAACGCACTGTGTGTAGATAGCTCACAGATACCCAGTCACTGAAACTCAACTAAGACAAGGAACAAAGTCCAGCTTTGTTGGCTGCTCAAGCTAATGATGCTTCTATAGTAAAAAAAAAAGAAAAAAAAATCAAATCCATACAAAAATCAACAATAACTCAAAAAATAATTCTGACAACGACCACAAATCTAGACCAAACATCTGAAAATACAACAGCATCACATGGCAATGCAATCTCAATCTGAATGTTGATATGAAATCCCTATCCAAATATCAAGCATCTCATAGCATAAAACTTCAAAAAAAAAAGAAAAAAGCAGATTCACAGTAACTACATCACTACTGTCCAAATCCTTTCTGTACAGTAGAGAAATAAAAGGCATCATGAACCTATATCTGAAAAGATAATACTTCAGATGCTTCCTTCCCACCCCAAAATAAAGGCTATATGAACCATCATAATTTATGTGCAGCAAAAACTCAGCCATATATTCCAAGAAATATTGGTGTCAATCCAGAAAGATCCACTAGTTTATGTCATGTTTACATACTAAACACAGGTAATAAATAAAAATTCCTGCCTTTAAAAGGAGAGGGCATTCCCTCCCAGTGTGTTGTACTGCTCGGACTTGTCCAAGAGCCATCTACACATAAAATAAAAAGAATACATTACATATATCATCTGAAGCATCATTAGCTCATTTTTGTATATTAAAAACCTCACCTTCAATAGAAAAAAAAAAATTTACTGTAGGACACAAGAACTCCTGATATAAAGCCTTAGTTACATTCTGTAGATTGAGTTTCAATCCTCTTAAAGAAAAAAAAAAAGACATTTCTCTTTTGTGAGACCTATGAGAACATTTCAGCAAACTCAAAGATTTCTTCCTGCAATTTAGATAGGACTTGGTGTGTATTATTAACCATATCAAACCCTGTTAAGTTCAAAGTGGATGCTCTGCAAGAGACAGAAGAGGACACACACGTTTCAAGAGAAAACTTTACTGCAGTGTAAGGCAAATCCAAAAAGCTGCAACAAGTCAGAGGATTTAGAATGATCTTATCAGGGTTCACACATGCTGCAACTAAGGCTGAACTATTACACTACACAAAAGCATCTTCAAGGTAGAAAATTTACTTCCCTTTGTTTTTTTAAAGTCCTATGCTTTTACAATGAAATGCATTAATACTTTCATTTCAAACAGTGCAGTAATAAAGGTAATAAAACAACTCAACTTCAGGAGCACTTCCGGCCATAATTGCAATGTACGAGTTGTAACCAATCCCACACAACCACAAAAGACTTCAATGACACCTGCACAGGCATTTTGCAGCCTGAGTATTTCTGTCTCTTACCCCAGCATACATTTTTCTATTTGCAGCACTTCAACCACATTTAAAATACTGTAAAACAGGCTTACATTCGCTTCAGATTAGAGCACAACGATTTAAAACTTTCCCACTAAACTGAAAATGAAAAAATATGTCATGATCTATGAAGGGAACAAAATGTTTTAATGCTCTGCTATGGAAAAAAAACCCGAATTCACAAACAAAAACACCACCTGCGATCTTTCTAGCACAGTGGCCATGCTCCACAAAAATAAATGCAGCAAGAATGAGTGCATACCTCCATCCTCAAGAGGTCTTTTCTGCCCTCCATAACCGTAGTCGTTTGAATTCATTGCTGTGCCAGCATCTCCTCCAATTTTCGCTGCAATCTAAACAAAAGGCAGATGTGAGCCAAAGAAAAAAAAATTAATTCGGCCCACGTTCATTCCACGTCTTCTAAGATTTCAGGGATTTAAACAATTCGCATTAAAATGACCCCAAATCTTTAAAGACCAAAACCTCTCTTGCTCACAGAGGTTTTCTTTAATGTTTTAAAGCCTTCTGCTCATACTTCAGCACCAGCGCCTCCTAAATTTTCCTCACCTACAAAAAAAATCCCAACGAGAACCTGGCCTTTATTCATCAAAATCTTTTTCCCAAACAGGAATTTTCTTTCTCTACGCCTTCTTCGCCAAGCACTGCGGTATCTCACGGCAGGGCCTCTCCGGCCAAACAATTTCAAAACCCGACCACGCCGGGTCTTCTACTACTGCCAAAACCGCGACCGCTTATTAACAGACAAGGTGAACATTTCGCCCGAGAAGCGACGAAAACATCGCCCGTGGTGCAGAAGCTACAAATAAAACTGCGGGATAAAGAGCTTCCGCAAGGGCCGCCCTCGCCCCGCAGGCCGCCGCGCCGCCCAACCGGTCCGAGCAGGCTGCGGGCGCCGCGGGCGCCACAGCACGGCCTGCGCCGCGGAGCCGCCGCCCTCCCGTCCCTCCGCCGGGCCGGCCCGGCCCGATAACGCGCCGCTACTCGCCCGCCGAGATTTCGCCTCCCCGCCGTCGGGGAGGGACCCCGCGGGGCCGCTCCTCTCACCGCCGAATCCCCTCGGGCCGCTCCCGGCGCTGTTCGCGGGCAATGGCGGAGCGGGGCCACAAATACCTCGCGGCCCAGGGCGGGCTGGTGGCGCAAAGGGGGCGTGGGGACGGGACAAAGCTCCCCCCAACACACACACGCTGCGGTGGGGCCCCCGCTCTCCGCAGCCGAGCGCGCAGCGCCCTCACTGTTCCCGCGGCTCCGAGAGCGCGGCCTCCAGGCCGCGGGACCCCATTGATTCGATGGGGCCACACACACCTGCCTAGCCCTCTGCAGCGCGTCTTTAAAGGCATCGTTCACTCCTCCAGCCCCGCCGCCACCTCCCCCGGGCGCGCCCGCGGCAGGAGGGGGCACCGTGGAATAGTCCGCCATGGCCTCCCCGGCGCCGCTCCGGCCGCTGCCGCTGTCTGCCAAGAAAGAGAGAAAATGGCGGCGGGCGCGCGCCTTTCACATTCCTGCGCGGCATCGTGCTCGGGGGGAGCGCGCCGAAATCTCGCGAGATCTCGGGCGGGATTTCATTGCGGGCGCCGGAGAACGGCGGAGAAGCCTCGCGGCCTTTCTCCCGGCCCCGCCCAACCGGCCCCGCGGGGCCTCCGGGGGCGCCCTGCAGGGGGTGGGGTGAGATCGCGATGTTTCCACGGGAGGCGCGAGTTCTTGGAGACGCTGCTGATAGGGCCGGGAGAGTCACGTGGGGCGAAGGGAGGGCATCGCGGTGCGGGGGGGGGGGGGGGGGGGGGCGGGGGGGGGGGGGGGGGGGGGGGAGGCAGCGCGCAGTTCTCGCGTCATTTGGTTTGGAGCCGCGGGTGCGCGCGCGGGAGCGGGGCTGCCGGGAGCGCGGTCGGGCCCGGGGCTGAGGCGGCGGCGACGCTCGGTGAGTGCGGGAGGCGCGCGGGACGGGACGGGACGGGCCGGGGCTGCCGTGCGCCGCCTGCCCGCGCCGCAACGTGCTTAGGGGTGCTCTGCCTTCCCGGCCGCTGCCCGGGCGGTGGCGGTGGCAGCAGCCCTGCCCTGAGCCGAGGCGGGCGGCCGGAGCGCCGGGCTGTCTTCCCGTCGGAGCGCGGCGGTGCCCTGGGGCGAGGCTCCCGCGGTGCGCGGCCGCCGGGCGTTGTCACAGACAATAATGCGAGCGCCGTTTCCGGGGGAGCCGCCTCGGCGCCCGGCGGGGCAGCCCGGGCGGCGGCGGGAGGGGCGAGGGGCGGCTCGCAGCCGTTGGGCCGAGGGACGGGGCCCGGGCCCGCGGCCGTCCCGTCCCGCCGCTGCTCGCGGCCCTCTGCCCGCTGCCATCCTGCGGGCACGGCCGCTCGTTTCGAACGGATTTTTGGGTTGTTCCGCACCCCGCGAAACGGGACCAGCTCTTTCCTTTCGCGGAGCTTCGCTTGCTGAGTCCTGCAGTTGTCCATGGTTGTTTATTTCTTAGCTGAAAATGTTCGTTGTTAATGTACGATCTTTACAGCTGATTTTTTCTTGGCTGCGCAAGCACGAGCTTTAATGAAAAACTGGAGTTTGTAATGCTTTAATCTGGGTCCTGTTCAGGTCCTGTGACCTGGTGGGGATGAACTGTCATGCTGAGTATGGATGACGGCGTTGTAAAGGCTTCACATTGGGATAAGGTCCTAGAACATCTGCTTAGGAATCCTAGCAATAGAGACTGCATAATACTGGAGCGGAACTGCTGTACGACGGCGTTCTGTACCATTCTGAGGGGATGCTTTACAATTTTTAGAGAATATTTCTATGCATTCAACTGTTCCTCTTTCATGGGCTCCTGGTTTGCATAAATGTCATACCTTTTTTTTTAAACATACCTGCTTTTAAACTGAAGTGTGGCAGGTCTCTTCCGGCCTTAGGTGAGTGTGGTTTTTTTGTTGTCAGTGGTTTTCACTTGAGAAACTGTTGTTTTGGACTTGGCCTGGTTTGGGGCTGTGTGCTGTTTGGGACTCTTGGATTCGCATAAGAAAATACCTCTCAGGGTTTTCCCTTCCCTGTCCCTCAGTGTTGCCTTGTAGTTCCGTGTTGCTTTAAGGCAGCTGTAGTTGGGATAAATTTAATAGACTATATGTCACAGTGTTGCTGAGCTCAGATTATCCTGCATTCTCTAGTGCAGTTAACTTCACGAAAGGAAGCTAAAAAAATGCTAGATTTTTAACTCCCATAACACTACAGAGGTTGTGCAGTTAAGAAGAAGGGTTATAAGAGAAATATATTCCACAAAGTTAGAAATTCCTACATGCTTTTAGGCAGATGACAGTGTATTGCTACAGCCAGGTGGAACTTGCTGCTCTGATACTTTTGCTGAAAAAGCCTGTACATAAGAATTCGCTTATACTTTCCATTAATGTAGCTGTGTTAGCTGGAGGGGTTGGGCAAAAAAGTTAAATTACACTTGGAGGGTGGGAATTTAATTCTTTTGCTTGGCTCTCTGCTGCTGTTGCTAAACACTATTTGTTCATTCTCTTAGCTACTAATAGTTTGACTGTGCGTAGCAAGTACTTACTTGTATAACTTTAGTTGAGCAATAGTAGTTGACTATGACACATTGAAACCACTCCTGGCCAGTGGCTATGTGTTTTATGGTTCTCCCCTTACTGGATGAAGGGCAGCATCAGTGTGCTTGGTGTTTTACAGTTACAAAACGGGCTGGTGTTTGTTTCTTTGCTAAGTTCTGTGAGACAAGCCAGTAGCCATGTAATGCTGATAATTTTTAAGCAGTCATAATGCCTTGGGCTAATAAAAACACTTTTGTCTGGTATGGTATAAGTGTTCTAGTTGAATTCATAAACAACTGATGATAGGCAAATGTTAATTTTTGGGGGTTTTTTATCAGCCTTTTGCTGCTCTTTGAGGTGATGCTTTATTTGTAAAGCTGAGAGTGATATTTAGTATGTCTGTTATTCCTCGATCTTTGCAGTTCTTGAAGTCACTGCAGGCTTTACAGTCAGAACATGAGATTTAGCAAACTGAAGAGGAGATAGATCTCACAGTATTGTACAGTATATAAATATTTTGCCTTTACTTTCACTGTTCCTAAGTTGATCTAATGACCTTTATTAACACTTGGGTCTGTCTATATTTCCCATGATGGCACTTACAACCTATCTGCTAGAAAACCACATCTCTTAAGCACTCTTGTCTTCATTTCCCTTTATTAAGTGATATTTCTGTTAAGAAAATGCTCCCTATGGGACTAATTCATTCTGTTTAATCTGTTAACGGAGTGGGCTGAGGATCTAACCCCTTAGCAGCGCTAACTGCAGTATTCGTTCGGGTACGTTGGCATGTCACAGCAGCATACACCAGGATGTCCTGCTTTCTTCCTTGCAGGACTTTCCTGCACTGCCTGTTTCCTCAGTGCCTTCTAGGAAGTTTAATGTGCTTGATGTAAGTAGCTGTTCGTGTTGGGCTGCTAGAGCATTTATTGTGCAAAATAAGGTTCACTTCATACAGTAACTGTTCTTACTAATGAAGGATGAATAATAGAGACGTGAACATCTTACCTTTCAGAATCTTAATAAATAGATAGTTGGCAGTATAAGAAATAGAAGAATATGGATTTAAAAAAAATCTCTTCACTGTTTATTTTAGAGAGTGGTGGAAGATGTGTCCCTTAATTTACTAGATCACTACATCTCCCATGGTTTTCAGGCTGTAATGGTTGTTTTTTGCAGTAATCATCAGACTGAAATATTCTACTAGATGTATTTGCTGAGAAACAGTGAGTGTAAATATCTGAAAAGTCTGAACACCTTTTATTTGTGTGGGTGATCACAGATTTAAGTAATGGTTGGTTCTGAGGAAAAAAGTACTCATATACTCTGTGTGAAAGAATCCTTTTATCCAAATGTCCTCAGGGTATTCCTGTATTAGCTCAGGTATTGCAAAAGCAGCGATGTAAAAGTGTGGAACTGGCACAAATCCTCTGCATAACCAAAGCCACTTCAGTTCATGCATGCATTGAGTTCTGCCGGGTTGATTGGGTTTTTTTTTTTCTCTTCTACAATTCACTTTGCTCTGTGGTGACCAGACCAAAAGATTAGGCTGTCCTGAAAGGAATGGTTCTCTGGTGCAAGTAAGGAGACCTCTCACAAGGTCAATAAGTAAAGAATTGCATTTCTTATGAATTGCCTCTGCAACTCTTGTGCCACTGAGTGGCACAGGAACGGGCGAGAGGCAGTATTGTAGAAAGAGTAAAAGAAGGCTTTATTCAAGAGAACCCTGCGGTTTTTAGAGTGATACGATGCAGACTACTTAACAAAAACACCTTTCTCATCCACCATCCTTGAGAAGAACAGAAAGAGAAGTAGAAAAACACCACCTGCAGATTGTTTATACATAATATGTTATCACATCCTTACAACTCCCTAAAAGTTTTCACAAGCCACTGTGAGAAATGCTTGCCGTTTCTCTCTCTCTGTCCCATGGCATCCACGTCTGGGTAGCATGTTTTGTTTAGCTTTGCCTCAGTACACTGAACTCCCAGATAGAAGTGCTTATGTTCTCTGAGAGAAGAATAACCACTGTGATAGCTGTACGTGGGCCTGCCATGCTTTCTGCAAGTCAGTGCTGCTCTGCTAAAATCTGCAATCGGTGTCTGATATTTCCTCGCTTTGGGAGATGTAGATCAATTGATTCAGATCCTGTCAGCTGCTACTTTTGCACTGGCAAAGTGTGTCCAGGATCTGCAACATTATCAGTAGAAAACTCCCTTAAATGACTGCTGAGAGAAGATTGAGCATGTGCTCTCTATCCAAACAACTGCTGATCTGTCATGAGTTTTTATATTTAATACATGTGCACTGAAGCAGTGATTACAGTTTTCAGATCCACAGTTTGGATAATTTTTGGATTTGGGGAAAAAAAAGCCACATCTGGTGGTTTTGGTTTATATTTAGTCATGCTGCTTTTCCTAGAAAAAATGTTTTAGTGTATTAAAACTTCATAGAACCTTCAGAGCTCTTCCCTTGTACGTTTTACTCTTGTGCATCTCGTTTGATATGTATTTGATTTAAAACTTTGATTACTTTACAGGAGGCTATCAAATTGCATTAAGCCACCGTTGCATTGGGTATGTCCGATATGGGAGGATAAGTCAGAGAACACTCACTTCTTCCTTAGATACAGCTGCCGTGTGCAGAGACTGGATCATTCTGTTGAAGGAATGTTGGGCAAAAGGCAGCTGGATAATATTAGTCAGCATGATAGTGTCATCAGTGCTCAGCACGGACTTGTTCCAGGGGATCGGGTGTTTTTGTGGAGATGTCGTGGGAAGGAAAGCTTTGAGAGCACAGAGAATTTGCTGTTAGCATCTGCAAAATTCTTCCCTGATGGGGGAGAAGAATGTAGGGCCTTGCTTGAAATGAGTTGGGCAGTGGAGCTAGGCGTGGAAGTTACATACGAATGGGAATTAAGAAAGGCTGAGATGGGGACTGAGAGACTGTGAAAGGAGAACAAATGATTAATGCAGCAGTAGCTGTAGAGGATGGAAGTGTCTTAATATATCCCTCTGTCAGCAATGCACTGAAGAAAGTGAATTTAAGTCCTGTTAATTAGAGAGTACTTTATTTAAGGCATAATTAATATTCAGAATTCTCTTGAAGTGAGAAAAGCTTGATTGCTCTAAAGGGATTGGTGTACTTCCCTATTACCCAGGCCTGGTCTCTAGTAGTATTCTTTCTGATACTGTTTAATTAAGCTAAAAATTGTACTTATTAATTTGTGAGTCAGAGCATCTTATTTTTAAACAAACTGTTCGTGTGTCATAGCATAAATTTAAAAAAAACCCAAACATAGAAAGGTAAATATTTTCTGAATTTGAATTCCGATAGTTTCTTAGTACAAGGGATACTGAAATTTGGTATCACTTCAGAATACCTA